CCTCCCAGCCTCCCAGCCGTAGGGTGCTAACACCCTCCTGAAGCCACCCCGAGGCTGGGAGGCTCAGGCTTCTGCAGCAAGAGAGGCCCTCTTACCCATCCCTTCTGCTTCCCAGAAGGGGAAACTGAGGCTCAGGGAAGGACAGTGACTCCATAGTATCGGGACTGGAACCCAGGTCCCCTACTTTCCAGACCAGAACTCTTTGCACCTCACCTGCTGCCCGACCTGTTTTCAGGTGAGCTTCCAAGGGACAGGGGGTTTCAATGGGTGGCCTGACTCCTGGGGGAATCCCGACAATCTGCCTACTTGTGGGGACCACTTGTATGAAACAACCACCCCACACCTCACTCTGCCCACTTCTTCCTGGGCTGCTCCCCCTCCCCTCTTCACCCCCCGACTCAGATGTGCTCCTTTCCTCTTCTGCCTTACAAATCCTTACCACCAAATCCTCTCTAGGAAAGCCTTGCTCTAGGTGGTCTGGGTCCCCCAGGAACGACGGCAGTCGGAGCCAGGGTCCGCGTGCATGTGTGTACAAGTGTGCCCTGACTGCTGTCTCCGCCACCACGCCGTGAGCCCCCAGAGGTCAATGTGGGTTTTCGCTTGTCTCAGACGTAGCCCAGAGGTGCTCCCCAGTCCTGGGAGACAACTGGGTGATAATCTGGCATAGACCCCAGAGCCACAGATCCCAGAAAGTCAGGGCTGGCAGGGCCTGTAGGCGTCACATACTTCAGGGTGTGAGTCGGTGGGAAGAGTTCTTGGCCAGATACATCCAGCACGCCCTGGGTTAATACGAGACAGCTTCTTCCTGCAGGACTTCTCAGAGTCTGGACATCATGACTGTCCAGGAGGGGCCAGACTCAACTCACACAGGGAGATCTGAGTTCCGCAGGGCAGAGAGGACCAGCTGAAATGCGGCTGCTGCCAGTCATACAGCACCTTTGTGAAGATAGTTACAAGGAGTCCCTTCCTTAGGACATTGTCATCTGTGCAAAACTTAGCACCAACCTTGATTTTATGAGAACGAGACGCTTTACTGCCATCTGCTGGAAAGATAGTAAACACACCAACCTACTATATATTGGAATGCGCCCCCTTCCCCCTGAAATATGGTACTCTTGCCCAGTGTGTAACCTGCCCAACCATGCATGGCAGCCCTGGGCCCAGAGTCACACGATCCCAACCTGTTCATCCTTCCCTTTCTGCCTGCACAATAGTCCTATGTCGCCAGTGAGGGTTCTGTGCTCTAGAACAGATTCCGGGAATGCTTATGCACTGACAGCACCGGCTGGGGAACAGGGACCGCGATCCAGATGCTGCACAGGCTCTACCTTGCTGTGTGACTGCAGGGAAGTCCTCACCCTCTCTGGGCCAGTTTCCCTCTTATAAAACGAGATAGTTGAGCTTGATCACCTCCAGGGGCTCAGAGAGCTCTGAACCAAGTGACACTCCTGCCCTCTGTGGAACTTTGAAAAGAGCAACAGTTATTCTCAATTGCCGACACACAGCCAAGAAGACAGCCAAATACAACCTGGATTTTATTAGACTAGGAAATATAATTTATTTCATAAAAATTAATTTTGTTACAATAGGAATGCTAAAGGCTATGTACAGGTTGTAGTTTACAGAATAAACAGAGGTGGGACCAGGGACCATCCCTGGGGTCCTGCACCCCCCTGGGCATACAACCGTGTCCATGGCCCAGGCAGGGGGTCCAGCCCTTTGCCCCCAGGAGAGCTGCTTCCTGCACCCAAGCTCCTGGTCACCTCCACTCAGAAGGCCTGCTAAGGGACGCGGCTCAGCAGCCTGGGAGCTAGGGGAAGGGGACCGAGGGCCCTGGGTGGTCCAGATGAGGAGGGTCCCCCGCACCCCAGGAGGACCCCTGTGCCCGAGCTCTGGAGCCCAGGCACCGCGAGAGAAGGCAGAGGGAGAGGCACGTAGAAGATACACTGACTGACCCTGTGGGCTCGGCGGCAGGGGACAGGCATGCCAACCTCCAGATGTCCACACCTGGGACGCAGAGGCGGGTACACGCACCCACACGCAGGTGGGCAGACGTGCACCTGTTCCTGGAGGGGCACCCTGATGTGCCCGTGGAGAAAAGCACAGGCACGTACACGCACGCGCACACACACCCAGGGATGAGAGAGACATAAACACCGTGCCAGGGCCCCGCCGGCCCTGCAGCAGCACCTCCGCTGCGGGGACGCCAGGCAGGCAGCGCGGGGACACAGCCACAGCAGCCTCGGCAGATTGATGGAGCCAGCACACCCTTTCTGGGCTTTTCTTTTAAAGCCGGACAGTTTGAACCTTCCCAGGAGACTCCAGCCAATCGGTTCTGTGCTCCAGGACATGGTGCAGGATTTCTGCAAGTCAGATTGGAAATGGCACCTGGGTGGCTGGCTGGGCCTCCTGTCCCAGGCTCCTGTCCCCCTGGGGCTGAGCAAGCAGGCTTCTGTGGGTGGGTGGGAGGGGGCGGGAAAGGGCAGGGAGGAGAGGCAGGGCAGGCCACGGTCAACTTCTCCCTTCTGGGGCTCCCTTCAGAAGCCTAGAAAGTGTGTCAGAGCCCGAAGGGCCTTGGAGAGCAGCCTTCTAGGTAAAAAGGACACTGAAGCCCAGAGAAGGCAGCAACGTGCCTGAGGTCACACAGCAGTCTAATGGCTGAGGGGGACTTGACTCCTGGTCTTTGGACTCCCAGGCCACCTGTGGGCGTTTAAGAGCCTGTGACAGGAATGGCACCAGGAAAGCCCGTCACGGCACACGTGCGGGCCAGCCTAGTCAGGCTGCCCTCAAAGAATGCGACAGAGGCCACACACGTGCTTGGGCTAGCAGTGACTGGCGGGGCTGAGCCCACAGGGACGGCAGCTGTGGTGGGGAAGGCTCACTGTCCGTCTGAGGCACCAGGGTCGACAGCCTTGCTCTCAGCCTCATGCGGGCCTGGCCTGGTCAGCAGCCCTGACAGAAGGAATCCCCTTGAACCTCTGGACGGGTCCTCGTCTGCTCACAGCCAACCCCACCCCAGGGGCTGGTGGGTGGGGAGAAGCCCTGTGAGCCACCGAGTCTACGGCAGGCCAGCCAGGCTGGGGACACTGGCTGAGGCCTAAAACCTGCCCTTCTCTCAGGAGATCAGACTTTCTAAGGCCGGGACGTGCGGAGGCTGGTCCCCGTGGCTGCTCTGGGGCCAGCTGGGGCAAGTACCAGAACTGCTGGGGGTAGCTGGCACCTGCCTTGCCTCGAGTGCCAAGGAGGGGCCTTGGATAAGACCTCAGTGCCAGCTGCAAGGTCCTGGTCCCAGCCACTGCCAGCCAGCTGAACAGGGCCAGGGACTCATCCCTCCCGACTCAGGGCCCCCCGAACATCCTGGAACAGGCTGGGTGGGGTGGCACGTGCAGCCCTCCACCCTGGCAAGCCCACCTGTTCATAAAGGTTACTTTCAGACCTCCCAGCCCCAGAGGGTGGGTGAGAAGAGGGTTAAAGGTGGTGCCTGTGGAGATGATGGGAAGATCACTTTCCACCCTCCTCCTCCAGGCGTGCAAAGCACAGCTGGCCACGCACCTCCCAGCCTCCCAGCCGTAGGGTGCTAACACCCTCCTGAAGCCACCCCGAGGCTGGGAGGCTCAGGCTTCTGCAGCAAGAGAGGCCCTCTTAC